AATATCGTCCCACAAAAACTACTATTTACTATAAGTTTTTAAACTAATCTAACTTCAATTTAAACTGAAATAATAACTGATTATCAAATCAAATTTTGTTTTCTAACTAAAATTCTAATAAATTAAGTAACAAGCTCAAATTAAAGTTATAGATAAGATTATGTGATGAGATAGTTAAGATTTTCGATTTCACTTAGATTATTTAACATATATATAATTTTAATTCATTCAGTCATCTTTTCATACGTGCTAACGATCGAATTGACCTATTGTAGTTAGTGATCTCTCTCGAGCAACACTAATCATATTCATATGTTTGAACCTACTATATCTCTATATAAATTCACACATATATGAACGCATTAATTAATAGGAATTCAACATGGATCGCATGGGCTATGATTATCTCTCGACCTCTTGATGTCTATATTAATTATTACACGAGTTAGAATTATACATCACCTCTCAGTCTCAATATTATCCATAAATCAATCAATTGTTGCACAAACAATTGAAGCATTAACCAAACAATAATTAATTAACAAGTATTAAAGTGACTGGAACTAAGCATATAATAAAAAACATGAAATTACATAATTCATCCTAACATAAAAAGTGTTTAGCCACTCATAACGTTAAAATCAAACAAATAAAAGTTGGAAAACATCATCAGGTTTAATTACACTCAACAAAATAAAAAACCCTCCGACGGTAACGATGACGAATGTGATAAATTTCTACTCAAATTCTTGTCCAATTGCTGGAATGATTGCCTCGAATAATATTTTTTTTCTTCTCAATGTCTCTTCCTTCGCCGTCTCTCTCTCTCTCTCTCTCTCTCTCTCTCTCTTCTTTCTTCCTTGTCTTTTTCCTCCTTCCTATCCTTTTTTTTCTTTCTGTCGTGTCTGCTCCCCTCTTCTTTTTCTTTTCCTCTTCTTTTTCTTTCCTTATTTTCAGCCCCCATTAGATTTCTCAATCCACTACTTTCCTTTTGAAGTTGATTCCTAAATAGAGTTAAGATCTCTAAATATGCTGATAAGATAGTCTCTTCTTGGTGGGAAATAATTATCTCAATCTTGAATTTCTTCAAAGTGTAAAATCTCCCTCCTAATCAAGTGAGGCAAAGAATCTAAGTGACTAATAATTGATTTGATGACCTCTGAGAAACAAATTATAGTTTAGAAAGGCCTTGAAAAGTTAGTAACACTAATATAATCACTTTCACCTTTGGACAAGAATCTAATGGGAATTGTGTTGTGTTTCTTTCTTTACCGCACGAAAAGTGACTTAAGTTATTAGCATTTGCATGCTCTTTTATCTTTGTGAATCATTTCATTTAAAACTATGAGACATTAAACAGAGAGTAGTACATTTGAACGAGTGTCCATATCCACAAGTTAGGTTATCTCACTTTAT